GCCAGAGTGAAGCTAGGAAGTCAAATGTGTGTCACTTATTTCCTTTCCACCACTTGCTTTTCGATATACCTGACTTTCAGAAAAGCACTCCATCAGATTGTACCACCTTCGTTATTTTTGATCAACACAGTTTAAAACAATCAGCTGAATCCTGTATGAACAAGACAGCAAGCATTGCATTATGTGATACCTACAGTGGGAATCCAGGAAGGTGAGGACTTCTCCTCGTGCAGCTCGAGCTCCTAACAGTCTGGCTGCGACCAAACCTTTCCACTCTGTCTGACGTAAAACACGGACGATACTCAGCTGCTGCACGTATTCATCCAGACGAGACTTCAGGTGATCTGAAGACAGAGCAGACAGCCAGTCAACCTCAGGAAAGTATAAATCTAAACAGTGGCAAAATAGTTATCGTGGTGATGTTACAGTGTCAGGAGGAGCACAATAGAGTTCTGCTTGCTATTGTTGTTGCAATGCTTGTTATCTCAAACTTTAATGGAAAGAAAGAAACAAGGATTTACAGTCCTTAAATATGCATTAAGAGATTATTTTGGCCACTTGGAAGCAGAGGAAAGCTACAAACGCAACATTGTCATATTATTATATTTTAAGTTCATTGTTAAAAGAAAGAAAGAAGTATTTTTACAGAAAATATACACAACATTTCTTTTTCATTATCAAGAAAAGTGAATAGAATTACAGACATTATCTTTAAATTAATTTATTTAATTGTAACATTTACATTTATTTTTAATTCTTACATAAATTTGACTACATCATTTCTTAACACTTTTTTTTAGTTTTCTTAAATTACATGCAACTTTATGTAAAATTTAAATAACTATTTACTTTTAAATATTGTATAAAGGTAAATGTTCATACTACAAATTTTACTTTTATTTTCATTTTAGTGCAAATGTTATTAAATTTCCTGTCTTACATTTGCTAAATATAAATTAAACAAACAATTTTTTCATTACATCCAACATAATGCATAACCTTGTTTTAAGAAAAAATAATACAAAGTGTTTTTGAATCAATAGTGGCGAGTACTTTATGTTTCTTCCCAAATAAAACTAATTTGAGCATATGCTAACACTTTATTGATGGTGTTCAGATTCAGGAAAAATCTGTAAAATAATACTGTTTCACTGCAGAACTTTTAGGTCGACATGTTAATTGAAAGTGTTGTAATGATAATAATTGAGGCTGAATCTGTAAAGTAACAACAGCTGCTGGAGCAGGTGCTTCTCAGTTTGAGGACAGAAAGGGGGCTGGAACACACTGCTGAATACACAGCCCCTTATTGTACAAACAGAATAATGTTTCAACACTAGTCTAGTTGTACTGTAGTAGTAGTTGTGAAATGTTAATCTGTTTGCACAACAAAAGGCTGTGTATTCAGCTGTGTGTCCCATCCGCCTTTCTTGTACTCTTACAATTCGTCATTCATTTGAAGTCATGTTCACAGTCTAATATTCAGCCTTCATGTAGCCCTGACAACTTCTAAGGAAAACATCTGATTTTTTTAGCCACAAAATGTTTCAAGTTGAAAACTTTCATGCTTTCGAGTAGTTTTGGAAATGCTGCTCATGAGAAAATTAAGCATGAACCCAAACAGGAAAGTTGTAAGATATAAAACCAAAGTAAAGCAAAATAGTTGTTTACACCTTTGTAAACCACAGCAGCAGTGGTATTTAAGTACCACTACTAAACTACTTCAGTACAAATTTGAGGTATTTCTACTTTACTTAACTCAGTATTTCACTCTAAAACAGTTGTTGACAAATAGTTTCACTACAAAAAAGGATTTTATATATGAAATACATGATCAGATGTGATGTAATGGGATAGAAATTACATAACTATGTATAAAATAGTTAGAACTGCTCTTTTCTTGAACAATTGCACCATCCATCCATCCATCCATCCATCCATTATCTATACACCACTTTATCCTCACTAGGGGTCATGGGGGGCTGGAGTCTATCCCAGCTGACTTAGGGTGAAGGCAGGGGACACCCTGGACAGGTCACCAGTCTATCACAGGGCTACACTTAGAGACAGACAACCAAGCACACTCACATTCACACCTACGGACAATTTAGAATCACCAATTAACCTCAACATGTTTTTGGACCTTGTGGGAGGAAGCCGGGCAACCCAGAGAGAACCCACGCTGCACGGGGAGAACATGCAAACTCCATGAAGAAAGATCCCGGTGCCTTCACTGAGACGCGAACCAGCGACCTTCTTGCTGCGAGGCAACAGCAGCCCACCAACTGCACCATCAAAATGCTATTTATGCTTTAATTAGTTAACATCTGATGTTGTAATATATAGTACAGTGCACTCACAAGAGCCATTTCCTACTTTGTGTAGATATATTTTTCATATTTTAAGTATATTTAGTTAATACTTACACCAAAGAGATATTTTCAGTATAGAACTTTTGCTACTTTTGCTTTAGCAAAATAAAGTTTCTTCTCCCCTGATGTAAATGATGTGTTTGTACAAGCTATAAAAATGATAAGTATGTGCAGTATGAACAGAATTACACCCTCATGCAGCACTGTGAATACACTCACCATCTGTGCTGGCATCATCCACCAGTAAGATCTCTGTGAGCAGAGCAGCAGGAGCTGTATGTAAGACACTGTACACCGTCCTGAGCAGGGTGGACCAGGCCTCATTATGAAACACAATGATCACGCTGGTGGTCGGGAGGCCGGGACATCGCCAAAACTTCTGCTTCAAGCAGCTGCAGAGCCAAACTGAAAGTTAACAGGCGCCATTGTTGCATATAAAATCAAACATGCCTGAAGAAAAGTTCCCACCAAAATGTTACATTCATAGAGTGAATATTTTCTGAGTTATAGGCCGATGAAGTACACAGGGGTGGGTCTAACTTTGAGTTTTTTCAACATTTTTGAGCCCTTTTTGAGTGACTTCACAAGTACAGAACAAAGTCACAGATCTTACAATCTAAAGCCAAAATCTTCTTCTGTTGATTACATTTTTTTTTCTATAACCAACTTTGAGCCTCAATATTATGGGATATATCATATTTATATCCATCTATTTCTCTATCTTAGACATAGATTCATAAAAATGTGGAAGAAATGGTTGATTAAATAAAGTTATAGCCAATAAAAGGTCTCATTTTTACCTGCTTTTTGATACCTACCTCATCCTCAAGCCACAGTTCCTTCTCTGTCAATATGAATTTCTAATATAGGTATATTTTGATATGTGCAAAATGTGAATTCTGAGCTTCTACTTACTCAAGGAGTTAAGGTCATAATGACTTCTGCACAATAAAGACAGTGTTGGATGCCAGTATTACATATCATCACTGTTTTTCACAATCTGTCAACAGAAAACAGGACGACGGAACAGACTGGTAGAACAGAAACCTAATACTGTCAAAGCAGAATTCAAAAGTGTCTTAAACAAGCACTGGAAGATCAAACTTGTTCAATCAATGTGATTCATACAAACTCTTTATGGAAAACATGCGAACACTAATCTTGCTTCTCCATTTCACAGCCAGAAGCTACATTCACGAGAAATCAAAATCCAGCTAATCCAAGAGAATTGCATTGACACAGAAGGAATCATGGCTACATGTGGATAAAAAAATGAGACCTTTCATTTAACTTGTTTGACCAACCACTTATCTCTCATGGTGATTGGACCCCTTGAAAGCCTACCCAAAATGTAGTTGTTGAAGTTTTCTCCATGTTGACATTAATCAAGTGCAGTTTTGCGATTGAAACTGTTGTATCCCATCATACTGAAGTTCAAAGGTGTTTTTAGAGAAAACCCTGCTGAACAAAAATTACATTTGGGCTTTATATTGTGACACCTGATGTAGTTTGGTTGCAGTTTTGAACAATGGTCAAATGTGTCCTTAATCCTTTAAAACAGAGATCTCCAACTCCAGTCCTCGTGAGCTACTGTCCTGCAGGTTTTAGACGTTTCCGTACTGCAACACACCTGATTCAAACTAATGAATCATTAACAGACTTGTGTAGAACTTGACAACAAGCTGTTGGAGATCCATTCATTTGAATCAGGTGTGTTGCAGTACGGAAACATCTAAAACCTGCAGGACAGTAGCTCACGAGCCGGACTTGGAGATCTCTGCTTTAAAATCTCATGTGATTGTGTCCTGTACTTGTAAAGTTTTTACCTGGAAAACAAAAGTGCAAAATCTATCCTATGTACTTCAGTAGCATGTAACTAAGAAAATATGCATAGTATGAAGGTATAATTTTGCATAGCTACATTACATATACAAAAGTTATTGTACATAAAAATAATAATGTGATTTTGAAGGGGTCAGGTGGAAGGCACTGATTGGTTTTTCATGAAATGATCCATCAGCTTTATAACAACATGTACATTTCTGCATGTCAGTGGTATCTGAAGCTCTGCTGAGATGAATAATTATGGGTCTACTGACTCTGGAGGCCTTGTGTCTTTGCCCAGATCACGGTGCAAGGAGATGCGATCACTGGCAAACTGGTTGAACTGGTGTTTAAGATACCCTCGTGATTTCTCTACACGTTCCTCAAAAAACATCTGTTGATATACAAAGGGTTTTCCGCCTGCCCCCGGCGCTCTGAGATCTTGGAGAGGCCTCTGAAGTGGAGGCTTCAGCTCCTCCTTGCTGTAAACTCCAGGAGGACAGTTGCGCTGTGAGGGATCATGTCCAGGCAAAGATCCTCTGAGTGTTCCCTGGTCTCCCACAGGTAGGTGTGTTGGTTGCAGCGGGGTGGTCCAGGGGAGGAGGTAGAATATGAGGAGAAATAACACCAAACAGCAGGAAAGTGCTAATTTCACTGAACGGGTGAGTCGACAGTGAAATGAAGGCATGATCTGCACAAGCAAGCACTGACCTATAACAGAGCTGGAAAAAAAAAAAATCACATTAAGTTTATACAAACAGACAGCATGAAATACCATTATTTAACAGTTTTTAAAACATTAACTTTAAAGAAAAAGGTTTTTTAAGTTCAACTTTTTTGAAAACAATTTACTATTATTTTATATATTTTGCATTTTTTGTGTGAAGAAGCTGTATGCATTTACATGTTGACCTTAAAAAATGTAAATAATGTTGTTGGCTTGGTTTATGAAATATATGAATAAATGTTTCCAGTCCATTAAAATTGAATTTACCTTACCCTGTATATAGGGGTTTTAGTGGTATGTGGGAGATTAAATGTTTATTAGATTTGGTAGATCCAGTCTGGGATTATATAAATTGAAGACACATTATTATTTGTGATTTATGTCTGCAAGTCACAGTAGTTTCTATACATGGTCTATAAAGAGTTTTCACCCACTTTAGAGTGGGTTAATACTTCAGCTTTTTGTCTCTCAGATTAGACACTATGTTTGACAGACACCAAACACTACACATCGTCACAAACACACCGTCCCCACTGTGAAGCATGGTGGTGGCAGCATCATGGGAGAATATTTGTTCTCCAGGGAGACAATGATCTGAAGCATAGAACCAAAGCTACACAGAAATGGTTCTAAGACAACAAGGTGGATGTCCTGTTGTCAGAGCCCAGACTTCAATGTAATTAGGGAAAAGGGTTGTTCATTCACAGTCTCCATGCAACCTGACAGAGCTCAAACAGCTTTGTAGAGAATAATGATGTAAAATTGTTGCATTCGGATGTGCAAGGCTGAATGAAACCGGTCCTGACATCGCTTTATAGAGATTTGTTTTCAATTTGATATGAAATAGTCTTTTTGAAAAATATTGTCAAAAACTCAAATTTAATTGACCATGATTTAATGTTGAAAAGCCAGTAAAGGGGAAAACTTCCAAGGGGGGTGAATATGTTTTATAGACAATGTACATTGTATACAATGCTCTAACACACAGTACTGCAATCATTTATACAGTTCTCAGCATTTTTAATAAAGTACAGTAGAAACACTGTAAAATACAATAAAATACTTGGTGACCACAGCTGAGAGTATTTTGCTGTAAATTTGCAGGAATATTTGTTAAAGTATATTTTGTCTTTGTAAGAAAGACCCTTCCCTATAGGGTGAATAGAACATTGTGCCTATAGTATATATGACATTTTTAAGGAATGTAGTGCTTGAAAACAATAATAATAATAATAATTAAAAATGTGAACAATACTTTGGCATACAAGCTACAAAAAAGTTGTCATACAGGCCACAATGTCACATATGAATTTTGCTTACGAAGATTCAAAATTGCATTGACAACAGTAATAGAAGTTAAAATGCCCAACAACGAGAAATTACACATTTCCCTAACAGGTCTATGTGTCTGAGCTACATAGACAGCAATAGATACAGTGTGAAAAGGATTTTAAAATTATTTGTCAGTACTTACTTGCTGCAGGATATGATAATGATAATGATGTGATGTTTCTCTGCCTGTGATCTTCTTCTTTGTGTGTCGCAGTTGGTTTGTTCAGCCTCAAGTGTTCAGGCTTATTGGCATTTGTTTAAAGGCAGAAGAGCAGTGTGTGACTGCCCAAACCAGTTTATTGCTCATTTGGAGCATTTGACTCAGTCCAGTACTGTAATACCCCTGCCAGGCTACATGTTTCATTCTTCGACCTTCTTGTCCTTATTTGCGTCTGGTCTTAAACTTTTAACTTCCTTCATGACTGAATTTCCCTTCTGGGATAAATAAAGTATTTTTCATTTCATTCATTTCATTTCATTTCATTTCATGTTTCTGTACTTTGAACCTGCATTTTATTGTTTTTATACTTTTCTAAAATCTGTGTGTATGTCTGTTTTTATTGCAATATATATTGGGTCCTTTCCACAAAGCAGGTTTAGTGAACACTCTGAGTCTGTTAACCCGGAAATGAGGGAAACTCTGAGTTTTCCGTTTCACAAAGGAAGGTAACTTAAGGCCTCAGCCAGTTACCGTTTTTCTCGATGAACCTTGAGTCTGTCTCTCCCCTCTTTCAGCCACGCATGCTATTTGATTTCCTCATTCATTCATTTAGTCAGCAGGCGAGTTTTGGCGTAGTAGTTCTGCTGTCTGCGAAAAACCATAAAAGAAAATCAGAGTCAGTAGGCTGTATTGGAGTTCCTTTGGGCCCGTTGGGGGGGGCCTTTTTTCAGTAACATGGCATGTCCTTTTGATAACGGTCCCATGGATGAAGGTGCAGCATTACTGCGCAGAGAATTAAATATTCATCGGGAGATGGTTATCAGACCGCGCATAGATGTTCTAGCATTTCCAGACAATTATCTTTTTGAGTGGTACCGCTTCACGTCACAGTCCATCGTCAACGTCAAACGTCCAACCATGGTAATGTTCTCACATCCCAGCAGATACTGTGTGTTGCGCTGTGTTTCTTTGCAAATGGAAGTTTTTTGTACAATGTCTCTGAGATCCAGAGCACTTGAGTAAGGCACCTGTATGCAGGGCGGTCAGAGAAGTGTGCCTCGTCCTGAAACGGCCTTTACCCATCTTTGTCGTTTTCCCTGGACATAAACCTGTCAGAGCCATCAAGGAGGAGTCCCACAGGACTGCAGGTAAATGTTGTAGAGATCTGTTAAATTAACTTTAAATGATATTCTGTTAATGACATTGTGCTGCAACCTCAGACTTGAACAATGTTTTTATATTTCATCTGAGATTACACCTAAATGAAACAAATTCATTCAAGCAGTTTTTCCCTGTAATATCATTGTGATTGCAAAGGACTACATTTAAAGTTACGCACCGACCCAAGCAGCACTGTTCTCCACGCCGTCTTCCTCTGTTTTGCAGCTGCAGCGGTTTTGCACTTCTTTTTAAAAACATGTCGCCGTATGAGCGCATTAAGATTTCCACTTCTAGTGGGGTGAAAAATGCAGCCCTCCGCTTCCCTGTTGCCATGGTGACTCATCAAATCAGGACTCCATTGATACTGGCTTTTTATAGGTGTGGTGCACGCGCTTAACTCCAGGTAAAACTACTCCGAGTTGATTAAACTAACTCAGATCCGCTGTTCTGGAACCAGAAACTCCGATCTTCCTATCTCAGAGTAGATCAACTCAAAGTTCAGGATTAGACTCAGAGTTTGTTGAACCTGCTTTGGGAAACGGACCCAATACCTGCTAAATTTGTTTTGTATATGAAGTGTGCTGTACAAACAAACTTACTCTGCACAAAGTTAAGCCCTCACATGGCCCCTGTGATTTTCTCCCTCCATCCCTGTTTTTTTTTTAATGGTTTTAACTCAATTGGTCCCACCATTGTTGACATAATAGCAGCAGCAGTTGATGGCAAATGCTCATTATTATTACTTCTTGACCTCAGCTCTGCTTTTGACACTGTAAATCATGGTATTCTGTTGGACTAAAGCAGTTGGTAGGTATGTCAGGATCTGCCTTGGACTGGTTCTCATCCTACTTTTCTTACAGGAGGTTATTTGAGGTTGTTTCAGTTGGCCAGTTCATGTCCAACACAGCCCCTCTGTCTTGTGGTGTCCCACAGGGTTCTGTCCTGGGTCCAATACTGTTCTCACTTTATCGGCTGCCTGTTGGTCAGATAATTAGCCCTTTTTGTGGGCTCTCATATCATTTGTATGCTGATGACATTCAGTTATGTTACACATTCAAACATTCAAGAGAGCAACAAATAATTAATCTTAAATGACTGTTTGCAGCTTGTTAAAATCTGGATGTCTGACAGCTGCCTTCAGTTAAATACAAGTAAAACTGAAGTGCTTATACTTGCCCCTGACAAATGGATACCATCCATTAAACAGCATATTGGGTCATTTAGAGACTTTACGAAGCCTTATGTTAGAAATCTAGGTGTGATTTTTGGTCAGTCTCTGTCACTAGACAGCCATGTCAGCCAGCTTACACATTCCTGTTGTTACCATCTGCGCAGCATAGCTAAGTTCAAATCCATTGTATCCAAAGTGGAACTGGAGATAGTTTTACATGCTCGTTTAGATTAGTGTAATGCTCTTTTTACCTGTTTAAATCAGCCCTCTCTTAACCACCTTCAGACAGTCCAAAATGCAACTGCTCGTCTTTAAACAAGGAACTAACCGGAGATCCCACATCACCCCAGTCCTGTCCCCTCTTCACTGGCTCCCGATCAATTTTCGTGTACATTTTAAAATACTGGTGCTAACTTTTAAGGCTTTACGTGGCCAATCACCATGATCCAAATAGAGCTCTCAGGTCAGGCCAACAAAAATTACTTGTTGTCCCTCGATCCAAGTTCAAAACCCATGGTTTCAAGCTCTCGCACCAAAACTGTGGAATGCTCTTCCTCTACAGCTGAGATCGGTCGACTCCTGTGAAACTTTTATGAGGCATCTGAAAATGTTTTTATTCAGACAGGCTTTTGATTGACCTGTAACTGCTTTATTTTATTATTTTTTTATTATTGTTATTATTTTATTTTATTTTTTCATTGTTTTTGATGCCTAGTATTTTAGCTGCTCCCCTGTTTTAACAATTTATTGCCTTTATCATTACTATTTTTGTTGTAATCCTTGTTTTATCACTGTTGTAAAGCACTGGTGCTATATAAATAAATGTTACTTACTTACTTACCTTCCATCACATTACACATCAAACTTTTCACAGCAAGATTTCCAAAAGCACCCTAAAGTCATTATAAGTGAAGTCAGATATGGAACAGCATACAGGTGCATTAAAACATGACTCTATTTATGGGAGTTGAAGCATTCATGATGGTTCTGTGAGGCCTACAGCAGAACACTCGTCTTCTGTCTTGGCTCACCCTTCACTTAATCAGGAAACTGACTCTTCTGCCACTTAGCTTCCAGTACATGGCTGCAGGGCATCTGGACCAATATCCACAGATGATAATTTTATTTGCTGACCAT